GGGTAACAAGAGTGAAACTCCGTCTCAAAAAAAAAAAAGAAAGTATGGTACATAGCTACTATGGAATGCTATGAACCCATAAAAAAGAATGAAATCAGTCTTTGCAACAACATGAATGTAGCTGGAGGGCTTTATCCTAAGCGAACTAACCTAGAAACAGAAAACCAAATACTGCATGTTCTCACTTGTAAGTGGGAGCTGAACATCAAGTACACGTGGATATAAAGATGGAAACAATAGGCTGGGCACAGTGGCACACACTTCTAATCCCAGCACTTTGGGAGGCTGAGGTGGGTGGATCACGAGGTCAGGAGTTCAAGACCAGCCTGGACAACATGGTGAAACCCCATCTCTACTAAAAATACAAAAATTAGCTGGGCATGGTGGCATGTGCCTGTAATCCCAGCTACTTGGGAGGCTGAGGCAAGAGAGTTGCTTTAACTGGGACCCAGGAAGCAGAAGGTTGCAGTGAGCCGAGATCATGCCACTGCACTCCAGCCTGGGCTACAGAGCAAGACTCTGTCTCAAAAAATAAAAAAAGTAGACACTGGGGTCTGCCAGAGGTGGTGGCATGGGGTGGGGGTGGTGAGGAACGGCTGAAAAACTACCTTTTTGATACTATACTCACTACCTGGGTAATGGGTTCAGTCATACCTCAAACCTCAGCATCACACAGTATACCTTTGTAACACACTTACACATGTACTCTGATTCTAAAATAAACATTGAAAAAGAAGGAAAAAGAAAAAGAAACTGACATGGTTTGTACTGTTTAATTCTACATAATGGGTAGGGGAAATGAAGTCTGCACAATACTTGGCTCTGTCTCGGTTAGGGGTAGAGAGAAGCAAATGTATAAGTAAAGGTTATGAGCAAAGATGTAAAGGGGGAAAAATTAAAGTGTGTAGAGAAAGTGAAGCAGTACCAAATCATAATATAGATCCCAAGCCTCACCAAGAAGTGAAGGAGAGGGTAATTGTGGAATAGTTCCTGGGACTGAGACCTAAAGGTGTAAGATGAATATTGTGGGCGGTCCTCTTTGAGAAAAAGAATAGAAAAGAAAAATGTGAAGTGGGTGCTAAATTTCAGAGCAGAATATACATATATTTATACATATGTATGTACGTGTGTGTATATATATCTATGTAGTAAATTCCAGCTTACATAGGGCTTTTACTTGTTTTGGATCATTATTAACAGTCCTGTGATGATGTGGGTATGGTAGATACTATTCCACATCACAGAGGATAAAATTAAGGCACACCATAAGGTAGCTGACCAGAGATCATGTAGTATATGGTAGAATGGCAACTCGAGGCCAGTTCTTAGGTGTGTTTGTTGTCCTTATTCAGAATGGAAAAATGTGGTTTATTGTACAAAAATTTAAAAATGAATGTTGAAAAGTAGTAAATAATTATTATCCAAACCTCACCCTCTGTGGTTTTTTGCTATGTGATCTTCCAGACTCTGACATATACATCTAGATACTTTTTTAACTTTTTGCTTTTAACCACTTAAGATTTTGTAAACTCATTTCCAGATTAACATATATTTGCTTTTAACAGCTATGTATTCCACTGGAGATACATACCATTTGTAATATATTCCTGGAAATTTATATGGTTACAACTTTTTTATTATAAATAATGCTGTATACAGCCTAGCCAACAGGGTGAAACCATGTCTCTACTGGAAAAAAGAAAACAAAAATTTAGCTGGGCATGGTGGTGTGCTCCTGTAATCCCAGCTATTGCAGAGGCTGAGGCAGGAGAATTGTTTGAACCAAGGAAGTGGAGGTTACAGTGAACCGAGATTGTGCCACTGCACTCCAGCCTGGGCAACAGCGAGATTCCACCTCAATAAATAAATAATGCTGTATGAGCATTTTTGTCTAATTACTTCCACAAAATTAGTTTTTAAGGGGTCAGACACGGTGGCTCATACCTGTAATATCCAGCACTTCAGGCGGCCGAGGCAGGCAGATCATGAGGTCAGGAGATCAAGACCATCCTGGCTAACATGGTGAAACCCCATCTCTGTTTAAAAACAAACAAAAAAAAAGTATGAAAAGACAAATTTATTCCAATGCTCCCCTTTCTTACACAAAAAGCAGCCATTTACATCATTCTGCTCTTCGCTTTCTTTATTGCACAAAATATCTTGAAGATCTTCCATGGTTTTTTGTTTGTTTTTGTTAAGGAAAGCAATACTTGAAGAACTCGGGTACTCAGTTAAATGACTTTAATGTTATTTAAATGTGTACAAACATAGAACTGGACATAAATTTCATGCCAGCAAACCAAACTACAAAATCAACAGGATTAAAGCAACATTACAGTGGCATAGTTGTTTTTGCTGAAAATAGACACTCACAGCGTGACTTAGGTAGTGACTGCTGAAATGCAGGTTCTTAAGAGGTTAACATGCCTATACCTATACTGTATTCCATGCCAATTCAATTCTACCACTACTTTTCTGAATCTAACCCAGTTCTAACTTTGTTCTGTTTTTTTCCCCCGATAGCACTTTTATTGATTGTGTGTATCTCCCAATGACATGCAAGTTTTTTATTTATGAAGTGCTTTATTTTTTTCAATATATCCCAGGCACCCCAAACACATCCTGTCACGTAATGGGTACTTAAATATTTGATAAGTGAATGAATGAAACAGATTAATCCTTTTTTTTAAGTTAAACAATCATGTTTATTGCTTGAGCACATAGACAAATTTATGTGACCAGGGCAGAGGCTGTAGATGATTCATATTTCCAATTGGGAGGGAGGACTCGCTTAGTCTTATAATACCGAGCCAAATGATGAATCTGGCGCTCTATCAGAGTCAGACTGAATTAAGCATCCTTCTTTCTGTTCCACTCAAGATGCTTTCGAACAGCGACTGCTTCCTTAATTAAATGGTAGAGATCTTCAGGGAGATCAGGAGCAAGTTCCTTAGACTTAAGGATTCTTAAGATTTTATTGCCTGTCACAAAACGTACTTGTGCAACACCATGTAAATCTCTCAGGATCACACCGATTTGTGAAGGAGTCAGGCCCTTCTTGGCCAGTTTGTAAATCTGCTCCTTCACATCGTGAGATGTCAACTTCAGCCACGTGGGGATGCTGCGGCAATAGGGCAAAGCCGACTGGGACAAGCCCTTCCCGGGAGCATGCATGTGACCCATGATGGCAGTGGTCAGGCAACGAAAGGAGAAACAGATTAATTCTTATACACATTCAAGTTTGAGAACCACTGATAGAGGATGCCAGGGCAGTTGACAGACAGTCATACGTGCAGCTGTCAAGGTGCTGACATGGTGAGAAAAGAGGAAAGCCCAGGAAGATAAGCCCTGGCCTAGAGGAAAGGGAGGATAATGTGGCTGGTAGTGCAGTAGTTGGAAGAGAGAGAAGTACAAGTCTTGTTTTCTAGACTTGTATAACTAAGGCATCATCTAATTTCAGGGACAACAGAAGAAACGCTGCACTCCAATTTTCTCACCATTAATATAATTAGAAATTTTAAAATGCTAATGTCTGAAAGAGCAAGGAGAACTCTGATTGAAATTAACTCATGCAAGAATAATTAGCGAAAGTAAATAGTTGATTATATATCCTTTTTGTCTGTAGAGAGTACCTGAAAGAGGCTTGTATTCTTTTTCAAGATTGGGCAGATTAAGCCATAGCACACTTTTACTTGCATCTGATAGTCTTGCTTCAGCTTTGGCTTAGCCTGAAACATTAGTTTCAAAGGGCAGAATTTTATTTTATTTTTATTTTTTGAGACACAGTTTTGCTCTTGTCCCCCAGGCCGGAGTGCAATGGCGTGATCTCGGCTCACTGCAGCCTCTGCCTTCTGGTTTCAAGCGATTCTCCTGCCTTTCCCCCGACCACCCCCAGTAGCTGGGATTACAGATGTCCGCCACCACAGCCAGCTAGTTTTTGTATTTAGAGAAGAATTTGATCAAGCTCAGCCTTCCAACCAAAATGTTGGTGTGGCAGGGCCATTGCCTACTTCTCTTCAGGTGTGCTATGCCTTTAGAGTTGAATGGTGTCTCAGTTCTGCCTGGGAATAAGAGGCAGGAAGGCTGACTATATGGAGTGTTGTAAATCCCAGTTAAAAAATACTAAACAAAGTGTAATTAATAGGATTATTTATTGGGAAGGGGAGTGTATATGTGTATGTGTGTGTATCTCCATCTTCTGCCTAGTCTGAGGATAACTTGAGTGAGTTAAGCATTGAGAAAAGAGGGGAAGACTTTGTTTAGATGGTGTGTTTTTGTTTTCTTGGATAAGTGTAGGTATACAGCTTTAAAAATTTCTAGTGCTTTCCCTTAAATCTATTTTAGGATTCTCCTAGAAACTTTTCAGGTTGGTAAGGCCCTATGTCTTTTTGCTATCTTCTGTAACATTTTCTTCCTTGTAGTTAACTGATTGAAAGAATAGATCTGGAAATAACTTTAAATATCCTTTATTCTGGAGCTGGGCGTGGTGGCTCAGGCCTGAATGCTAGCACTTTGGGAGGCCAAGGCAGGCGGCTCACATGGTCAGGAGTTCGAGACAAGCCTGACCAACATGGTGAAATCCCGACTCTACTAAAAACACAAAAATTAGCTGGGCATGGTGGCGCACACCTGTAA